AAATAACAACAAATGCCTACCGGTGGGGAAGGATTTCGGGGTGGCCAGGACGCCTGCACTGCTGGCCGGGGAGGACGAAGAAATGCCGGCGTCCTCTTCCGAGATGGCCCCACCGCCACCGACTCCGACGTGTCCGGTTGGCGAGAAGATCTGCGTTTGTCCAGTGGTTCCTGAAGCCGACTGATGACCGGTCTGGTGCTGGAGACGATGCTGCTGCCCCAGTGCATACGCCGAGCCGGCCTCTCGAGTTGCCTTGTGCACAGGCACCGGAGGACCCAGCAAACCTCCACACATCCTCGAGGCCGGACAGGAGGGCGGAGATCCGGAAGAGACGAAAGAAAGACTCATATCACCAGAGCGTGCAGAGGGCGAGAGTGAGTTGAGCTGACGAGAGAACGAGCCACCTGAAGTGGTCAAGTGGTAGACAAGACTATTCGACTCGGAGGTCGCCAACTGGACACCAGCAGACCCTGGGGAGGAGAAGGCAATTTCGACAAACAGACAAGCAAACAAACAAAAAGCAGAGATCAAACTGCGCGAAAAGAGGTAAATGATTGAAGGAAATTTGCGCTATCGAAAGCATTACGTGAAAAGTGGAGACGAGATCACCGCCGATCCAACTATGAGGCACATTAATCGAAATCAGCAGCATCTTAAGACTATGAGTAGAACCAAAATAAAAGGATTAGCTAAATTAAGTAATTACAGGAGATGAAGGACTGATAGTTGATTTATCAATCACGAGATAAGGAGTAGCATAATTCGTATCATGAATGGGAGATCGAGGTGATCAGATGATAGCGATTAAGAGCTTTCATCATTCTAGGTCGCTAGGCACGGTGAAGTGGCGCAGTAGCGACATGTCAAAATTAAACCTACCATAACCACAAGGTGAGTTAGATTCCCACTGGGGATGCTGATAAGACGGCAAGGAGAGGCAATATCAAAACTAAGTTCAGGAAGCGAAACCAAGTGAACATTCACTGACAGTCCTTTAGTAGAGTAACAGAAATAGGCTGACAAAAGCTAATAATCTCTAAATCCTCCTCAAGACACCAATTCAGGTACTACACAACTCTTGGCGGAACATTTCTCTATCAGTCCTTCTTTGTAGTCAACCACTTTGTCTGATTACAGCATTTACTTAGAAGAATTAGTAGTCAACAAAGGTTGATGCACGAGATGTGTTCACCTCTTTCCGTCTAGTTGTCGAGTTTCCCCACGACGATATTAGCAAAATGACGTTTCCGTTGAACTACAAATGGCTTTGCTCTTCCAAAATGTATTCTCATACTTGCAAGGGTGGACTGGTAGTCGAATTTTCCCACAATGATATGAGTTGAGCTGACGTTTCCATTGAATTCCACATAGCCTTGCTTTCCCAAA